CCCCCCCCCCCCCCCCTTTTTTTTTCTTTTGACTGAACGGACCTCTTGGAAGCCATCTAATGATTTTTTTTTAATTACATTTGATTCATTATTTTACGTTGCAGATATTCCTTTCAAGCGCTTTAAATTTTTTTGGAAATGTTGAAGTGCGTCCATCATAAATATATGATCGATAAATTTTAAATATAAAAATTTTTTTTACATTAATTGTGAAACGTAAAGTCGTGATTCAATCCCAACCTCATTCCAATAACTTTATTTTCTCACACTTTTTTGTTTGATTCGATATTTCACGATATGAATATCCATTTGGATTGATGTAAATTTTTTTAAAAAAACTTAAAATGTGATAATAATAAATATATTGTCGATTGAGTTTAAATATAAAAATTATCTCGTTTTGTGAAGTCACAAATGATCAACTGTAGCAACATCATGGCTTCTGCAATTTTTTCTCCCAGTTCATCTGTCGTCTTCGTCATCAAAGCCCTCCTTGCGTGATTTATTGAGCAATGTATTATGTTTTATTGTTCAGTGAGCAAGTAGTAATATGAAGTAAAGTTTGATGAGCATTCATTAAATTTACTCTTTATGTGGGTATTTATAAAAATTGTACTAAATTATATTTTGAAAAATTGAAATATTCATACAATGTATTGTTTAGATACTAAGTTAATTTCAACTCTCACCTTTAAAATGAAACAAGTTGTGTACATTGTCAATATATAATAACTCAAATCGTTAAATCATCGTGCGCACTCACTTATTAAACTTTATAAAACTTTCCAATTTAAGATGGTGCCCAAAAATTTAAAATGAAGCATATTTTTATGAAGCTCAGGATCAAAGTATATTTTGTAAATACTGTTACCTTCAACTACTGCCTTTAAAAGGAAACAAATCTGTTGCAAAGTCAAATATACAATAACCGAAACGATTAAATCATCTTATGCACTCACTCAACTTTATAAACTTTATAGTATGCAAAAAGTAAAAATAAAAGTATGTTTATATGATTATATGAAGATCACGATCTCGATATATTATTTAAATACGAAATTAATTTCGACTATTTCACTTCCAAGTATTCATTATTTTATTTATTTTGAACTGAATGAATTCATATTTGTTGAGCCCAAATAATGTGCTTTTTTTTTCGATGCAGATTGGTAGTAGGTTGGGTTGGAGAAGGAACTATGCAGCGAAAGACATTAGATTTGGAGTGGAGGCAAAGGCTTTGATGCTTAAGGGTGTTGAAGAGCTCGCTAAGGCAGTTAAAGTCACCATGGGCCCAAAGGTACTTCAATGATCCTGCTACTACTCGTTCCACCAGTGATCAATTTTATTTTATCATTGTGCAGTGGTAACTATTTATACATGTTTCCAATTAGCTTATTAATGAACTTCTGTAATTTCGTACTGATGTTTGAAGAATATATAGGGACACTTGCATTTCACTTTGATAGATTTATTCATGATACTTATGCGACGGCATTGTTAAGAAGTGTTATTTCAACTGTTCTTGTAATTTTTTTTGCTGTTCATTTCTACTTTAGTTCTAGTCTTCTGGTTTATCAATGTTGTAGCTGACTAAGGTTTTCATCGTTTCAATTGGTGAAGGGGCGTAATGTAGTGATTGAGCAAAGTTGGGGTGCCCCTAAAGTGACAAAGGATGGTGTCACCGTGGCAAAGAGCAGTGAATTCAAGGACAATGTCACAAACAATGGTGCGAGCCTTGTAAAGCAGGTTGCAAATGCCACCAACGATGTTAATGGTGACGGTGAGTTTTCAACTTAGTTCGGTTGTAGATTACTGGTTCTCACTGCAAATATTATATGAGACCTCCATAATGAAGTTTATGGATCCAGTTGAACATGTTCTGTCAAATACATGCACGTACTACATGTGCTACTGTCCTAACCCGTGCAATATTTACTGAGGGCTGCAAGTCAGTTGCTGCTGGCATGAACTCAATGGATCTTAGACGAGGTATTTGTTATATATTTATACAATAAATATAATATGTGAAAGAAATAACNTTGTGAAACAATCATCTAATCTTATGTTTATGTATGAACGTCTGTGTATATGTTTCTATAGATTCTGTAATTGTCTTGTTTGGGTTGTAGCAATATTTTTGTCCGAACAGAGGCCAATGTCAGAATTTGCTCATCGCAATCGCATTCAGGTATGACCCCTTACGTTGATTTGAGCATTTACATCTATTAATATATTGTCTTGTAACATAACTCTTCTTGATTAAGTTCTCGTGGGCTCGATTGATAGTGTCTATAAAGCAAATTTACGATTTTTTTCATATCATTGTTGTTTCATATAGCACAATTATCTAATTTTTTGCATTTCAATTGAAGCTAACTTTATGAATCTGCATATAATGTTAGTGATTCAATCATTGTTAAATCTATAATAGAAAAACTCTTTCACCCACATTAATCTCATACGTACGTCTCTTGCATGCATTATGTCGTGGCAGGTTCCTTCGAAATGAAAGTTTAATCTCGGATGAGAGACCATGTTCAATAGTTGCAACTGAATTGGGTATGCCGAGTCAAAGACATACAGTATCTGATCTCAGGTAGATTCTAGAGAATGGAGATCTCTCCATGCAGAATGGAGAGATTCTCTATGCAGAATCGAGAAATCTCCCCATTCTGTTTGGTTTTCACTGTTCATAAGCCGTATGGCCATATTAAGCCAAGCCGAAGTGGTTGAGCCGCGTTCGCCAAGCCATTTCTATATTCTAAACTATATTTTTCCTCTTTTTTGGTCCAAGAAATGATGTTAATTCACTGTCATTTGATTTTTTTGTACTTTACGTTTGCATGTGAAAAGACAAAAGTAAAATAGTGGCATGTTTACATTGGTTGAATAAAAAAATATAAGTAAAAAAAAAACATAAAACGTGTGGCATGGATTCTCAAAATAGGAGATATATCTCTTCATTCTCAAAATGGAGAGAATCTCTCCATGCAGCACGAAGAGATGAGATTTTTTTTTTCTTTTTTAAGAGTGAGTTTGTTTTTCACTTTGATTTTTATTTGTACTGTTCATATGAACAGTACACGTATGTTCATTTTTTTAGGAGCGTGTCTTCTTTTACTGTTCATATGAACTGCACTTTCCAGTGTTGTCTCGAAACATTTAGTATCTTATAAGAAAATTTTATGTAACTAATGCTTGACATAAATATTTTTTTATACATACGCTATTAAGTAGTCAACTATATCATGGCACGTGCCTTGCACGTGCTTTTCACTAGTTATTATAAAAGGTTGCGACCATAGAATCTATTAAATCTCATTACATCGATAAAACTTATCTGTCTGACTTTTGAATGGACAACAAATTGTTGATAATGTGCACAAGCTCTTCGAAGCACCAATCGATGAGACAAATTGAGATCAAATCCCTCTTCTTCGGAGCTCATATTATGAAGATACAAAACATATAATCTTAATACGGAACCATTAATCCCTTATGGAGAGGCAAATGACAATTTTAGGATAGTCAAATGCAAAAATACACATTTCGAAATAAGTTTTCTCCAATTATAATGTGCTTTTGCACGTCATGTTAACTGGAGATATTTGACATCGAAAATTTTATCAATACAAACCAATATTCTTTCTCCGATGACTCGGAAAATTCACACTAGTTAATTAACTGCTGCACAATGATACTAGATGGTTGCTAGCTCCTAAAATGTTAAATGATTGATAGAGTCTCTTTACCTAAAATAATGGTGGGAATAATAATTCAAAATAAATGATGCCCATATTTGCACTTAATAAATTATACCCATCTTGTACAATGCCCTTTGCCCTTTTTTATTACTCTATATGTCTCATTTATATAGGCTGATTTTGTTTTTCACTCAAATTAAGAAATTTTAGTTAGCCCATGTTTGATCCACATTACATATTCTTCACTAAATTAACAACGTTTGCCCTTAAAAAAGTACACTAGGGTGGCTTATTCAACTTCTTATGCAATGCATGTGATTTTAGGAAGGTATCACTGGCTGAAGCAGGGCAGCCTTAGGGTCATAGACCGTGTTTTTCAGATTTTTTAAAAAATCCTAGTCCAAATTCCAAATAACCCACCTCAAAATAGCCGAAGTCCCCAACCCAAATTATTTTAAGGAAAAATTCATAACTAAGAGATTAAGTATAATCAATTTCAAAATTAAGAAACAAGGTTTATTATTTCAAAAACCAGATATTAATTAAATTTTATTTATAAAATAATTAATTAAAATAAATATATGTTACTAATTAATTGGTCACAAAATATTTTTCAATTAAAAATAAAAAAAATTATAGGTCACAATTTATTTATCGATCACAAATCTCAAATATTGTAGGTCACAACTTATTTCACGCTCACAAATTACAAATTTTATAGGTTAAAACTTATTTCACGATCGGAGTTGCGTATCCGCTAGTAGAGGCGTCGCGCTTGCGCTACAGCAGCGTGAAATCACATTTGCACTTCTAATGCGCGCCGCAATGCTTGAGGTGTCCTATCACCGAATGTGGTGTGTTACCAGAGAAGAGAGAAGGTTGTGGAAACTCCACTGTTCGAGGCACCGAACGCTACAGTTCGCGATGCTGATATCAACACTAGTGTCGACTGCTGTGAGTGCTGCTCGATCGTGACCTTCTAGTGGCGGTCTTCCGGCTTCAATGGATTGCCCGTCGTATGAGAGAGAGGGATGATGTGCGAGAAAATAGTTTGGGTTAAATTTGAGAGGTTGATAGAATTAGATGTGGTGAATATTTAATATAATATTAATATTAATAGTTGAATTATTATCTCATTTATGAATAAGTAAACTTGATATCTCTTTTTTGAATTACAATCTTTAAAAATCTGCCCTGATGTAAGTTCCACTTGTTTTATTATAACTTCAGCCCAAAACCAAACCATATTGATTAAGGGGAAATTACGCCCACAACCCCTAAAATTAAGAAATTCGAATAATACTCTATTAACTAATTAAAATCTTTAATTACATAATTAATATGTTCTAAACCATCAAAACCCCAAAGCCAAAATCTAAACCTCAGAGTTACGATTCTAGAAAGGATCTTGCTACATGTATATCAAGACTTACATAATGGATTACATAATGCCACATGACACTGTATCATTTGCCAGTTTGAAAAACAATCAACTTTTTCGTCAAATCTTTTTCCCCTACGTCATATTATGTAATCCATTATGTACCCTTTTATGTACAAGTAGAAAAATCCTTGTAGAAAATGATCTTGTTACATGTATATCAAGATTTACATAATGGATTACATAATGCCACATGACGCTGTACCATTTCCCAATTTGAAAAAAATCAACTTTTCCGTCCAATCTTTTTCCTCTACGTCATATTATGTAATCCATTATGTACCCTTTTATGTACAAGTAGAAAATCCTTATAGAAAATGATCTTGCTACACGTATATCAAGACTTACATAATGGAACAAAGAGAAACCATCCTCCTCACCCACAACTTTGCTCCTCCTTACCCAAAACTCCACCGGCTACACCACGATTCCACTCTGGGAAACCCGCACACACAACTCCATTGACCCATCCTAGAAGATTCTCGATTTCAGCAAAGAGTAACCTTCACCCACAGCACAACTTCGCTCCGACAACCCTCACCCACGATTCTGTCAACTACACAATGACTTTGCTCCAAGAAACCCTTACCCCACGAATCTAAAATTCTTGCTTCTTCAATGAACCACAAAGCCCTGAATCAGAACTTCCAAATCATAGAAACCACCACTCCTTGACTTCGACTCCAACATTCTTGTAGAGAAATCCTTACCCAACTCGAACCAAGGCTAGAGAAAGTGAATATAAGATGATGAAGAGAAAATCAACTATTGTTGAAGAAGTAACTTCAAAGAATAAGAAAGATATTTCTTCACAAGTTTAAAAATGTAGGGTTAGTCATGATTTTTCACCGTTTTAAATTTTTTATGGCTTTCATTCGATTTTTACATTGAAATGTTTTGTTTCTTGTATATTGTAAGTTTTGTTTTTGTTTCATTTGTTTTCAAGTGTTTTAAATCTATTTTGAAACGCTTACTTTCCTAGAATCGAATTGTGTAATGTATTTTGTGATTATTAAGGGGATGTTCTCTTTGTATTTCAATTTTGTGTTTTGAGTTTTGAATTCAATTTGGGTTTTGTGTTTTGAATGTTCATTTTGAAATTGTTGAAAATGTGTTATTTTTGGCATTTTGAAAAATTGTTTTGAAAACACCCAAAACGCGTTTTAAAAATTTTGGCTTGATTTTAACTGAAAACATCCAAAACGACAAATTTATCATTTTGGGTTTTCTTTGTAAATTTTTAACTTGTTTTCAAAAATATGTTTTCGAAAATAGGAAAGAGAACGCGTTTTTACTATTTTGAAAAATCGAAAACAGAAAACGAGTTGAAAATGGTAAAGAGAACATACCCTAAACCTCTAGAGTGTCGTGTTTTGTGTTTTCTGATTAATCCATTTTTTGTGTTTTGTAAAAAGAGCATATGAATCCTTTTATTAAAATTGACCTGTCCTCGCCCAGTCAAGTTAGCCTAAAACCCGCCAATTCTGATAGAGTGCTTTGCTAGTTTGTACATTGTGATCAGAAAGCATATGAATCGATCAAGAACCAATAAAACTAATCAAAATCGTTCGAATTGGCCAATTTTTAATAAAACTCGGGGAGTTAGCCCAAACCAGCTCGACCTGCACCACAAAAATTTATACAAAAACGTATGTGTCTAGAATCCATTCGACCCCGAACAAATCAATTTTTCTTATGTTATGCTTGTTTGTGAAAAATATAGTTTATGCTGCTTTGCTCTTTTCTCAATTACTTAGCAATCATTTGCATAATGGAGCTATTTAAATTTGTGCTCTATGTTTTGTAATGAGTAAACTTATAAGGTGGCGTGTTCCTAAGATGAAATTATTTTTATGTTTTTTGATGGTTTTGTGTTGTAGAATTTACAGTGCTATGTACCTATTTTGTTAATATTTTAACAAAATCTGCATATTCTGTTGGCATCTCTTGACTCGTTCACTTGCTAAAAAAAATCATTTAGATTTGCATCATAAAGATACTCTGTAGATGTCGAACTCCAACTCATAAAGTATGAAGTTTAACTTTTCGGTAAGCTTGCAAATTTCAAAATTAAAGAAAATAACCACTTGCATGCACGTATAGTCACATTTTGACACAGTTTCATATTGCTTTATGGTTTACATTTGTATGTACGTGCCTATATGATTTCTGCACCTTTAACATTCCTACTTCTTAGTATAATCTCATCCAAATCTTCTCGAATTTGTGAATCATCAACAAAATTCAAGTTAATATAGTAGTTAATACAAGTGAAGCATAATAATAAAAAGACGACATGCAGAAAAAATGGCTGAAGAGCGCATTACAACTACCTTTGAGACCGATTGTGTGAAACCCCTTTACCTTTTGGAATTGCGGAAAATAATCATGTATGAAACTTGGAGTGTGTTTTACCGCCTACCATCTATTTTCTCAATAAAAAACTGTAAAATGACGAATATACCTCATATTTAAATAAAATAATAAAAATAAAAAACTAATTGCAACTATAGTCCAATTTTTTTTAGTAAAGTGCAAATGAGTTCTAAATAATTTATTAAAGAATTAGAACTAAAAATAAAAAATCCATTCTCCTTCCACTACTCTCTTCCCACTGCCATCGTCATCGCTGCCATCACCTTTCCCACCAAACAAACCAACTCCTAAACGCACACATTTCATAACCTTCATGTCCTCATAGAGATGTGAGGTGTTTCTGCTACTTCGTTGAACAAATGTCACTTGCAAAATGAGGTTGGAGATTATTACCCCATTGTACCTCCGGCGTGAGAATTAGTAGGTGATTTAAGAACGTAGGAAAAAAATATAGAATACGTGTTCAGATAGCCAATTTTTTTTTTTAAGATACATATGTGTACTACCTTATAAGAATTTATAGGCGTTTGAAGCCATGCAACTATTGGGCCTGTCCTATGTAGCACTTCCCACTATCCCCACGTTCTGAGTGGGGGACCTCCACCTATCAAGCGGTTAGTTGCGTTCACATCCAACTTAATGATGTTTTTATAGTCAAGTGTGATGTTGGTCTCGCAATGGTAGACTCCCTTGAATGAATGTAGAGGGCCTTGTAGCAGTAGGCAGACTAATATAAATGTACAAGGCCTCATAGTGGTCGATAGCCCAGTTTGAACGTCAAGGGCATCATATTGGTAGGCGGCCTAGCATAAGTGTAGATGACCTCTTAGTGATCGACAGCTAGTGTGGACATAGAGGGCCTCGTAGTGATAGGTGGCCTAGCATGTGATGCTCTACGTAGAGTACTTATTGAATAGTCTTTACCATGTTGGCCATAATAGATAATTGTTGGTGTCTCTAATATCACTAGCCCCTCTACCTCTTGTTGAAGCTATTGATAATGGTAGCATCTCATTCCTCTAAGTCGATTTTTTTATTATTTTTTTAATCGACTCATCACATGTTGACATTTGGTATAATATAAGTGGGTCGAGAAATTCAAGTGGTGCAGGGTAATGACACCCCATGTGTGGGTCTGGTTTTAGGGGGAAATTTCCTCCCAAAAAATTCAAAATTTTCACACATAAAAGGAAGTGAAGACCTCCATTTTACCCTTGCTTCTCCACTTGTAAATATTCCATTTCCTTCAAACTCTTAAGGTAACTTCTTCCTTCATCCTAGCTTTTTTCTTTTTAGTTGTCTTTCCTTTTATCATGTATAAAACTATCTTAACTTTTTCAATCGACCCATGATGATCACCCAGGCATTGCTGATCGATGGTTGTTCAACGCTAGTCAATTCTAAATTGGTGTCGACTAGCCTGGTTGACGGTCTACCAACCTCATGGATGGTCGATGAGTTGGTCGTCCATCATCCACCCCATCAACCAACCCGTCGAGGGGTCAGTTGAGCCCCCATAAGTCTGATACCCAGACACATTTGGCCAATTCTCACATTTTCCAACTAAGCTCTCCCAAAAAACATATTTGCTCAACTAAGTCTTTGAACCAAAATTTGGAAATTGGACAAGATTGGGTTGGCGAGGTGGTTGTTCTTGAGATTCCAAAATACTATAGCCTTTATAATTCCCCACTTAAATTGAAAAAAATCACTTAGCAAATTTGATCGTGTTGACAATTATGTTTATAGAGCCCGTAGGCCCAAAGAGAGGCTTCCGACCCTCGTGAGGTTGCCGTTATAAAGACAATATGGATAGTAGCTTTCAATTCCCTATCCATCCCTTATTCGTCTCAATTTTTAATGAATTTCATCTCACTCCTAGTTAAATAAACCCTAAGCGTGAAAGAAGACGTTGAATTTCTTGTACATTTGCCTTAGCAAGAAGATCCCACTCTCAATAAGCATCTTTAGGTTCGTCTTTGAGATGCACGAGCTAGCTCAGTATAATGCCTTTGTCTTCTTCATCTCTAGAGTCCTCTTGCGCTTTCTTAAATTTAGGAATTCAAACAGTGGGTGGAAATCTTGGGTCTTTTTTTTTTATCATTCTGAGGGTCAATTTCCTTTCAACACCAATTGGAAACATCCTCAAATTAGTCACTTCAATAG